TAGATGTAGCTTTAGATCTATGTGCCTATAGTTGAAATTCTGAAAGGAGGTGAGATCTTTCAAGAAGTAAGGGAGCAGGAAGGGAACCATATGGAGTATCATTGAAGAAGTGAATGCAGGAAGATCTACAAAAGCAGACTGAAAGGAGCAGCACAGAGGAGCAGAAAGAGCTGGGAGTGATGGAGACACAAGCCAGAAGGAAGGGGAATTTAAGCAGCAAAAAGGGTAGTTTAATAGTCTGGGAGAAGAGGGACTTTTTCTACTGAATGGAAAGGAAAGGAAGGATAAATGCTATTTAGGTCAGACCTAATCTTGGGGTACAACTGAAATTGGATTTCAGTATTACCACATTGATTGAATTTTGTTTTGCTTTTCTTAATTCACAGGGCCATTTTTTCAGTATTCACCTTCGTTTGGTCCCAACGTTTATATTTTTCTCTCTCATTCACACACAAGTATGTCCTTGTTCTAGCTACAAGAAGTAGGATCACAAACTTTTAGGGATCCTGAGTGATGGTGTAATACATACAGTTATGGTAAAATGAGTTTGTTTTTTTCCCATCTCAGGAACGCCAGCCACTACATCTGCTTCTACAACAGGCTTCAGCTTAGGATTCAGTAAGCCTGCAGCGTCTGCCACGCCGTTTACTCTGCCTGTTACTTCTACCTCAGCTAGCGGTCTTACTCTTTCGTCTGCTCTGACATCAACCCCAGCAGGTGACGCACAATGGGAGAAAGTTGCATTTTATGGTTCAGTTTTAATTCTATTTGGTTAGTGAACATGGGTATCCACCTTTATTAAAGATAACTTCAGTTTGGGAAACTTCTCATTTAAATTATTCAGCAATTTTGACATAAATTACTGATTATGAAGAAGCAGAGGCCATCTTGGAAGTTGGTCTTTACAGGGCAAAGCAGAAGAGAGGTAAAATGTAAAACTGTTAATATCTAATTTGTTTTCAAGGAGCATTTTGGTGACAGGGAAGGATGAGATTTGCACAAATCTTGCCTGGCTTAGATTCATTCAAATTTGAAGGTGGAGTTGGTGGCCTGAGCTAAAAACTCTCTATTACTGTCTAAAATCAGTTACCCGTTACCATTCTATTATTATCCAAAGCCCTTTTCTCTGTCACTGGTTCTTGCTTGAAGGTACTATTTTTCTTTATTCATAAGTATATATAATTTTATCTTTATTGAGTAGTTTTTCCCAAGATCCACTTTTATCATGGACATCAGTTTTGTTTTTAAGAAAGTATTTTGTAGTTTCTGTGGTGTTCTTAGCAGTGTTGTTTCCTTTTGAAGGCTTACACTCTCACTTTTTATAGCATCCACAGGGTTCACCCTAAATAATTTGGGTGGAACAACAGCTACCAGTACGACTGCATCAACGGGCCTTTCTTTAGGGGGAGCCCTAGCTGGTTTGGGAGGCTCGCTTTTCCAGAGTGCAAACACAGCAGCATCAGGTAATTGATGGTGTTTATTCTCCAGAAATAGTAAATACTTTTATTTAAATTTACTTTATTTTGGCATTTTGAGCAAATCACTTTGTCTTGTTAACCTGTATGTTTTCCTTTTTGTATGAAAACTGAATTATAATGTTTTTTGTGCGTAATTGGACCTAGCCATATTTGAGAAATAAATTTTTCTGTTTCTCAATATTGACTGACTAGAAAAACAAAGAGGTACCTGTTTAAGGAGTCAGTAAAGTTTCTAGAGAAACCTTTCTTTTTAATTAAAAAAGTTTGAGTAGTCTTGGATCATTTACTGCCTACATTGATTGTAAGACACCTTGACCTTTCAAGCCCCAGTTCTAGGAATGGCTTCCCATTGCAGACATCAGGAAAAGGGCTTTGAAGACAAGATTTTAAAATATAAATATTAAATAACTAATATAGTCAGGCAAAATACTAAAGTATTAGTTCACCTGGCAGAGAACACTGAATGAATGTTTTATATTTTGGGTTCATTTTTCATTTCATGCTTACTTTGAAATTAGCCTCGCGTTGAAGATTCTGCAGATGTTTTGAATACTGGCTACAGCTAATGCCAATATAGGAAAACGAGTGGGGCCTTGTGGGATTGACAAAAGCTTTACTCTTATTTGAAGAAATTGTGTAATTGCCTCACATAACAACGTAATATCAAGAATTTCTGTTTAACTGTTTACAGATTAGGAAATGTTGATACATGTTAAAATCACAGAATTTCCAGTAATATCAGGTTAATTTAATTTACAATGGTTATTTAATTTTAGAAGTCTCATTGAACACCTAATATGTATCTAATGCCTTCCTTGGTTGTGTGATAGACATGAAGGAATATGACATGATGTTTTCTGTTAAGGCTGTCATTCTTTGGTGTCCTATTCAGATACTAAATTTAATGGGGAAATTTCAAGTCAGTGCGAGGGGAGAAAAGAAGTTGGTCAAGATACTGTATAGAAATTTGTAGTGTTCAGATTTGCATTGATCTTTCAAATACTTATCTTTGTCATTGTTGTCTAACTTTATAGGTATTGGAAATGTTTTCTAATAACCAAATCACCAGATGCCTATAACATACATTTTTTTCAGGATAAATATTTAAACATCTCTCCCAAAGAGTCCTATGAGAGCAAAACACAAAAATTACAGAAAGGGGAGGTAGAGGGTTGTTTTTGTGTCTCGTTATTGAGCTTTTCCATCTGCTCTGATTTTTCTTAGGCTCTTGACACAATATTCAATGCTTAATTTTATTTATGTTAAAGGTGCCATTGATTTTAAAAAAAATCAGTGACAGCTATTTATTTAGCTATATTTGCTCATGCATTGCCAGGATTTAAATCCAGTTTTCAGTTATCCCGTGCTCTGATCAGTACATACTACTGTTTCCTCTGTTTTTAAAGTAAATAGCATCTTGTCTAAGAACCACAGTGGTGTCAGCTTGGGAATGCATGGACTTAGATGATTTAGCAATGCAAGCTCTTTGAAATTCTGCTACTTGATTCACAAGTATACTTGTATATTAATGACTTAAGATTAGCTATATTTAGGCCCTTTAATTCCTTTTATCAGTGAGGTAGGATTTAAATAAATGATGTCTACTTTTTAAAAAAGTTTTATGAAAAGAACTTGGGAGTATGAAATTTTGATGTTTGAACTGTTAGACTTCCAGTTATCAGTTCTTTAAATTTTGTTCATAGTGAAACTATTTGTTTTAAATTATACTAAAATCTTATAAATTCATACTAGATATTTATTAATCTCTATTTATTCCCCCCAGCTTTAATGAGGTGTAACTGACAAAGTTGTAAGATATTTAAAGTGTGCATGACTTGATATATGTATACAATGTGAAAGGATTCTCCCTGTTAAGTTAATGAACACATCCAATACTAGATTATTTTAAAAGTATGTAATTCTAAACATATTCATCTGAAACTATATAACTAAAACTGGTTTTGTAGAGTGTTTAAAAACAAACAAAAATGAGTGTTCACATATATCGAATTAACAGATACATTCTGACCCTTTTAATAAAGAAAAATCACATCATCCAAACTACATACACCATTGAATCCAAGTAAGACTATCAGTCTTTGTCCAGAGCATGCTTTAGACTTGTTTCTTGTTATTTGCCTAAATCAAATGTGAAGAAAATCTGGGATCTGACTTAAGAGTGTTTGAGTGCTCTGGTCAGAAGGAGAGATGGTTATAAAGACTTCCTGTGAACTTTGTAAATGATGTCTGGCTTGTTTGTAGGACTTGGACAGAATGCTCTAGGCTTGACTTTGGGAACCACAGCAGCTACTTCAACTGCAGGCAATGAAGGCCTTGGTGGTATAGATTTTAGCAGCTCATCAGATAAAAAGAGTAAGTAATGTTATTGTAATTTTATGTTTTAACAGTTCTGTTGAGGGAACTTAAATTCCTATGTATGGAAAACAGTTATATATTCAGTAGTAAAGTTTTTATTTTTAAGTTTGTTTGCATAATATTTCAAAAATTTGATATGTTGTGTACTTAAGATTTTGTTTTGGTAGAAAACATTTGTATGTGCCTGTGTCTTGTGTAGTTATCTTAATGTGTGTATTATATATTTTTTATTTGGGATCATGATATGTTGTTTTGAAACCTGTTCGTTCTCATATATCACAAGTATTTGTCAATGTCAGTAATTCTTTGAAAATATTTTAATTCTGCTTGATAGCAATTTTATGAATGGATATATGATAATTTAGTGTTTATTTCTAGTTCTTTTATTCTGGGAAGTATCACTGTATTGGACATCTTCATAGAGAGAGCCAGTGTAGTATTGTAATGTAAAGAGTGGAACTCTGGAGCTAAGTTGCCTGGGTTCAAATCCTGGCTCACCTATTTGCAAGGTTTGTGCCCCTACTCAAGTTATTTATCCTCTCCGTGCTTCCGTTTCCTTGCCTGTAAAGTGGGAGAAGTAATAGTACCTACTTTGTAGGGTTGTTTTGAGGATTACTATTCGTAAAACTTACCAGAGCCAGTCCCATAGTAAATACTGACTAGGTGTTTGCTTTTATTAAAAGTTTTTGTTCATATATGTGGTTATTTCTTTAGGGCAAATACCTAGAAATTGAATCATTGGCTTAAAAGATGGACATTTTAGAGACTCTTGATATATTGTGAATTGCTTTCCAGAAAGATTTTACCAAAATTATTTGCCTACCAGCCAGTATGAAAATGCCCTTCTTGCTGTGCTCTTGCTATACTGAATGTTTTTTAAAAAATTTGCCAATCCAAATTCGTTTGAAAAGCTTTTTATTGTTGTTGGTTCAGTGTGTGATTTTTTTGTTTTGTTTTGCAACATCTCTTCTGCTTCTGATGAAAGCATGTTTCACTCAAGTACATATTGCATTGAGCCCCTGAAGAACTTAGAATGAGGTAATGGATGAAGGTGTAAAATAATCAGTGTCCATATATCTGTATAAGAATTTTTTAAATTGGACATGGGTTTTATTATAAGGAGATACTTTTTATTCTACGGTGAATTACTCTCCTAAAAGTTGGTAAAATACTTATAAACTCATACAATTTGAGTTTATTTCTTTTTGAATGAAAATTTACTAATTTTTAAGCATAGGATCCTATCTCTTGTTTTTACGTAGTTTTCTTTGTAGCAACTTCATAATTAGAAAAATAGCCTTAGATGTTTTAGCAGCTTTTTTCTTTTTTACTCGGTTGGAGCAGCCCTCCAACTACTTTTAAGCATGAGACTACTACTCTCTTCATTGTGATTGCTTTTAGTCTCCACGTGAAAGAGCAGATCTAGGCAAAGAAGTAAGAGAAATGTAAGGAGTTAATTTCCCCACCCTCCCCATTGTCCTGCTCTCAAACTGTGCCTTAACGAGACTTGACATAGAATAAATATCAAGGGATTCTTTTTTTAATCCAAAGGATTTCTCTTTTTTTTTCTAGTAGCTGTATGAATTAGCGTGGGCCTGTGGTATCAGTGGGATTTGATCAGATGAAGAGTCGTAGGAAACAGCATTCCATGAGGAGGGACAGCATGGATTGAGATCTAAAGATGAGAATGATCTTGACCCTTTTGAAGAACTGCTGGAAGTCCAGTGTGGCTTACAGAGCAGGAAGATCAGATAACAGAGATCACAAGGGCCTTTTAGGTCTCATTCAGGAGTTTTGTAATTATACTGAGGACAGTAGGGATCTGCTAAAGGGTTTTGATCTGAATAATGTGACTTGATGAGGTTTGTGTTTTAAGAAGAGCATTCTGACAGCCACGTGGACAATAATGTGCAGGAAGGCCAGAGTGGATGTGGAGAACTGTGAGGAAGTTTTTGTAGTGGTCCACAGGTAGTACTGAGGCAAAGCTGGGCAGACGAGTCAGGAGTCCGCGGTCGTCTAGACACAGGCCCAAGTTTTATAATATATACATGTTTGTGTGTGGGGTAACTTATAAAATGTAATAAAAATGGAATATCAAAGAAACAGCAAAATAATGCATTAGTCAATAAAAATTTTGAACTCTTTTGGAACAAAAATTAAATCCCTACTTTATATTACTGTGCCTTACAAATCTAAGACTCTGTCTATAGAACAGTGCCAATTTCAGAAATGTTAAACTGGAAAAGAAAAAAAATATTAGAATCAATGAAATACAAAATATGGAAAAATAAATTAGAGTTGGATTAAAGGTGAAAAAGAAACCATGTACAAAGGTAAAAGATAAATGACAAATTGAAGGGAAAATACTTGATTTCTGGATGATTTTTTCACATGTTAACATCTCTGAAATTGAGATGTATCTTACAATTATAAGGATCTAATTTTAGAAATAGACATGAAATACGATATATGTGAGACAAAGAATTAATATATTTAATGTTGAAATAGCTCTTAGAAGTCAAGAAAAGTACCTCAAAAATGTGCAAATAGCATGAATAGGGAGTTCACAAAAGGAGAAAAACACTCGAATAATTAACATTTGAAATGTTTTACTCAGTACTGTCAGGAATATGAATTAAGATTATAATGAAGTGACATTTTTCACCTACATACTGCCACTTATTTATTTTTTAAATGTGTTGATTGTTGAGGGTGTGATGGAATAAGAACTCTTTTTCCAGTAGAAGGGAAGGTAAATTGGGACAATAGTCTTGAGGGATCAGTTTGGTGTGATAAGTCAAAGGTCTTCCCTGGCATAGTCTTTGACCTGTAAATTCCTGGAATACAAATAAAGTAGTGCACAAGTATTGATAGATAAACACATTCATTGCAGCAGTGTTATTTCTATAGTAAATGCTAATATGCTAAGGAAAATGCATATATGTACTCTGTGGTCATTTAAAGTCATTTTAATTGACATGGAAAGTATTCAGAACATGCTGAGAAAATATATGTGCATTAAAGTATAATATGGTGACCCTGATTGTTTTTAAAAATGTATGTGTATGTGCAGAAAAATGTTGGAAGGAACCACTGAGGCTCTCTGGTGGGATGAAATTTTGTGTATTTCAGTATTTTCTGTGTTTTCTTAAATAATCAGCTCTTATTTTTATAGCCAGAAATAAATTTTGGAAAATCGGAAAGTGAGTGACAGCATTATTGTGCTTAAGGAGCATTTTTACTTTTTTACTTTTAGATGTATACTATTCATGGTAACTGTCCAGTAGGTGTTTATTACTGAGAGCTGTTGAAATGTCTGCAGACATTAAAAATTTTCATTTTGAAAGACTTGCTGTAAAATATTTAGAGAGTTCAGGTAATCTCTATTTTATAATAGTATTCCATAATGATTGGGCCTTATAAAGTGTCAAGTAAAGCTCTTAGGAGTGAAACTGCTAGGCAGGAATATTTTTCATGGAAGATAGTTGAAAAAGGAAGATTCTTGCCATTGAAAGAAATTGATGCAAATCAGCTACATAACTATGTTTATTTTTACATAAACATGTCTTCATAACATGCTGTGTTTGGAGTTTCTGACAAGTCATGACATTGCACAATGTTTAAGGGGCAGTCTATGAAATGTTTAACAGTTTCTATTTATACTTTAGTTTTCATTAACTTAAAACTTGTATTTGAAATTTATTGTTATACTACCTATTTTTTACACAAAGCTTCTTGAATTTTCTAGGTGATAAAACAGGAACAAGACCAGAGTAAGTTTGCAATTTAACTTTAAAAATATTTTAATTGAAGAGTTTTATTTATTACATTGTAGGCAAATGGTATGGTTGGCAATAAATGAAACCATATAGGCATTTAGAAAAAATTTTAACTAGTTCGTGTCAAAAATAAAATAGTAAACAATGTGTTCTAAAAAGATTATGAAAGGCCAAATCTTTAATTTTTAATTGTTAAGAAAATTTATAACCAATTCTTTCTAGGAAGTTGTTGGCTTTTCCCAAATAATACAAATGAATATAAATATGTGCATGTGTTTGTTTAAGTTATTAAATAATAACTCATGGAACTTTAATCTTGGAGCACCTTTTATATATGTAAATGAAAATATATGTATGTGTGTATTTTTATTTTATATATGCATTACTATACTAGTACCATTTATTTCCTTATTATAAAGAGGAATGATAGCCTCTGTATACATCATATATGTGTTTGAAAATCATTATTTTTATATTTCTCACCCAATTTGTATTATGTTAAAGAAAGCATTTGTAAATAAGTGATCAAGTTCACTCCTTCCAAACATCTTGTGTATATTTTAGCCCTATTCCATTAGTGAGGAAGCTTAGAGGTACTGAGATTTGCCTAGTTATATCCAGGAAGTAGTAGCAAATCTGTGACTGAAATCTGTTGGGTCTTCGGAAAAGTCATGACATATTTTGTCTGTTTTTCAAAGGTAGGTTATTTATATAAAGAACAAAGATCCAGGCCGGCCGAGTGGCTCAGTTGGTTAAGAGCTCGCTCAAGAGTTTGAGCTCTGAGCAACAGCGGTTCGAGGCCAGCCCGAGCTGAGCAGCCGCTAAGCTGCCAATAGGTAGCAGGATGGCTCAGCTAAAAAANTGAGGTCTGGCTGAGTAATAGGACCTGGGATTTCATATCCGAGCCCTAGCAACTCGTCAGTCTTAGGCACAGAATGAATGTTGAACGAATGAATTAAATTATAGCTTATTGTATGGGGTTTTAGAAAAAAAAGACAATTAATAGAGAATTTTAAGTAGGACAAATAAAAGTTTCTCCCTGATAATTCAGATTCCATTGCAGGATATACGGCTTTAGACATTACAGTGCATTAATGATTTCGTAGTTAACGAGCTTTCAAGTCTTTATGCCCCTTGGGATCCTGTCTATTTTTTTGTTTTGTTTTTGTTTTAAATACGTTTTACAGCATTTATTGGTGATAATTTTGGACAGTATACAAAATGGTTGTGTTTTAGTGACTTATATTGCCTTGATTAAATTGCAAAGTGTAGGTATTAACGGCATATTCATCGTTTGTGTGTAATCTTCTACATCACTTTAAGTGGTGACAAAAATTTGGCTAGCAGAATTCCAGAAAGAGGCAATTAAAATAAAGATCATTTTAATGGTGACAGATTTAACCTTTAGAACTAAATCTTTTGAAGACAAAGGTGGAAGAGTTCTTTAAATCCAGTGTGCATAGGATGAGTTACAGGATATCTTGTGAGGCTTGAAGAATGTGGTTGTAGATTAAAGAGACAAAAATACCTTCAGCATTGTTTGTATTTATAAGGAGGGAGGGAGGGAAACCATAGACTACACAGTCAAGTCAGAAATCTGGAAGTTTTCCTTAATACCTCCTTTTCTCTCACTCTACACACTTAATCAGGCAGGCCTGATAATTTTAATTCTTCATTTTCTATTTGCTTCATTTCTGGTGCTACCACCCTGTTGCAAGCCCTTGTCATTTGTGGAACAAATATTTATTGGACACACTCCTATGCAGTAGGCTCTGTTTTAGGTGGTAAGATAAGTAAGAGTCCTGCTCTCCTGAAGCTTACATTCTTTTTTTTTTCTTTTTTTCAGATTAACATTTATTTTTTAAAATTTTTATTGTGAAATATGTTTTTAAATTAGTTTCAGCTGTACAACACAGTGCAGTAGTTATACTTTTTACCCCTCAAAGTGACAACTCTCCTCCCCCAATCCACCACCTCTCCCCCAATCTGCTGCCCCACTCCCCCCCCCATATCATACATATCTATTACAATTCCCTTGACTCCACTCCCACACTGTACTCCACGTCCCATGACTATATATATATATATATACACATATATATATATATTCAATTATGGTTGACATACAATATTATACAACATCAGATTCAGGTGTACAGTGCAGTGGTCAGGCCTCTACCCCATCCATGAAGTGGTCTCTAACAAGACGTGACCATCTGACACCCTACAAAATGTTTACAACATTATTAATTATATTCCCCAAACTGTCTTTCATATCCCTGTGGCAATATTGTAGTTACCTATTTATGCTGTCTAATTCCTTCCCCTTCTCCCTCATCCGCACCCCCCTCCCAACNAACCTTTTGCCATCTTTCAGTGAGCTTCATAATTCCTCGTTCATAGAAGGACCTCCCTTTATTTGTGAAAAACTGAACAAGGTGCTGATTTACAGCCTCATCTGAACTGAACATTACACCATGCAAGGAGTTTTGAAGAGAGCGAAACAAGTGGAAGTCTGACAGCACAAGGTCAGGCGAGTATGGTGGGTATGGCAACACATCCCATCCAAGCTCCAATAATTTTTGATGGGTGATCAAACTTGTGTGTGGTCTCGCGTTGTCACGATGGAACACAACTCCTTTACAATTAAGAAGCTCTGGATGTGTCTGGATGATGGATTTGTTCAAACTGTTCAATTGCTGACAGTACACATTCAAATTGATTGTTTGGTTCCTTGGTAGGAGCATGAAAAACACGACACCCTTTAAAATCCCACCACACTGAGAGCATAACCTTCCTCTGATGAATGTCTGCTTTCGATGTCATTTGAAGCGAATCATCACGTTGGGACCAAGACTGTTTGCACACCACATTGTTGTCAGCAAGCCACTTCTCATCACCAGTTATCAGTCTCTTCAAAAAAGGATCATTTCCCTCACATTTAATGAGCATATTGCAGATGTTTATATGCACCCTTAAATGAACTTCTTTGAGTTCATGCGAAACCCAAATATCCCAGCTTCTTCAGGTGGTCGTGAACGCTTGAATGATGGATGTTCAGTGTTTTTGCAATCTGGTGTCGTATAACATGGGTTTGACTTGATTAATGCCTTTATTTTGTTGTCATCAACCTCGGGGTGCCTCCCTGACCGAGGAGCGTCGTTGAGATCAAAATCATCAACATGGAATTTCGTGAACCATCGTTGGCACTGACGTTCTTGTAAAGCATTGTTACCATAAACTTTATGCAACTTTTCACGAGCTTGATGCGCGTTCTTCCCTTTATGGAAATAAAACAGTAAAATATGGCAAAAATGCAGTTTGGTCTTCCATCTTCAACTTGTAAAATCTCCAAAACTCAACCAAATTGCTCAATTTTTTTTTTACACTGAAGCTAGAACTGTCAGCTGTCAAATGACATAGCAATAACATAGATGCGAATGACTCTAGTACTTCCAAAAATGAACTATTGCCACCTGTTGCAAACATGCGTCATGACTTTTCCAAAGACCCCAATAACTCATGAATTCATTACAGTGTGTCAAATTTCACTTATTCCTGTCTTTAAATATTTATGACTCCCTTAAGCTATTACTGTCTTATTTTATTGAAGAAAAAATTGAAAAGTTATAAAATAAGTAAATAGTGTGTGCATCTTATTATGTGAAGTTTTGTAGACTTTCTTTAATGAATGCTTTAATATTTTTAAACTGAATAAAATACCAATCATACAATTTTTGAACCAGGGAAGTTAGTTCAATGTCCCATACAACCTGTAGTATTTTCTGATTTTTTCCTTAAACAATTAGTCACATGCACTTATGTAGATGCCAGTGTTCTTATAAAAGAAGTCTCCATGTCAGGTGAATTGTTAAAGTAATATTATAGGTCAGGAAGTTTATTGTTCTTTATAAAGAACTTTGAAATCATCCACGAAAGCTTTAAGTGGGGCATATTTGCTTTATTTTCTTGTATCTTAACACACTAATAAAACTCAGCTGTCAGCTTTTTATAATCTCAATGGTTTTAATACATGTGTGGCATTTTTCTTAGGGATAGTAAAGCACTGAAGGATGAAAATCTACCTACTGTCATCTGCCAGGATGTTGAAAATCTCCAGTAAGTGTGTCAAATATAATTAGATAACTCATACTTGAAGAATGCTAGAGTATATTTTAGGGGGAACAACTCCTCTTCCTCCTAAACATTTTACCTGGGGTTAAATTTTTAATGCTTTTAGAAATGAGAATGAAAGCAGAACAACAGGAATTAAAAAAAAATCTGTAACTACCATTTTGTGAAACAGCATGGGAACTGTAGGTAAATTTTTATTTTTTGCTTCTTAAAACACTTGGACTCTAACCAACCTATTGTAAATATACTATTTTCCTGTAGGGAACCAAAGGTGTATTTTTTTTTTTTTTAAATCAGTTTTGTTTTGTTTTGAAGGAAATTTGTGAAGGAACAAAAACAGGTCCAAGAAGAAATTAGTAGAATGTCTTCGAAAGCAATGCTTAAAGTACAAGAAGATATTAAAGCTCTGAAGCAGCTTCTGTCATTGGCTGCCAGTGGATTACAGAGAAACACTCTCAATATTGACAAATTGAAAATAGAAACTGCTCAGGTAAACTACTGTAAAGTCACTTTATGGTAGGGGTTTTTTTGTTTGAAATGGAAATAGGTATTTTTTTAAATTATAAAGTTTAATACTGTAAGAAAACCATACAGCTCACATACTTTTAAATTGCTTTAATCATATTTACTAGTTTTTATTGAGTGCTTACTATGGATGAGGCAGTATCCTTAAACTTATGTATTAACCCTAAAATGGGGTTTTCTTGACAGCCCTGTGAGGTAGGTACTATTATCTTTATTATATAAATAAGAAAACAGGCAGAGTGCCTTGTTACTAAGTGAGAGAGCTTGGATCCAGACCCTAGTAATCTAACCTGAGCTTATGCTGTCAACTCCTTTGTTCCATAAGAGTGCCTGATGGCATAATTGTTATGCGAGAGGAAAACAGGCAGAAAAATATGTGTTTTGAATCTGTCAGTTATTAAATAAAAATTCTATCATGCTTTATAGGTCTTAAATTTTACTGATGTGTTGCCAGTCTCAGCTTAGTAAAAATGGTATTGAGGCTAATATCTTCCATCATTTCTGTCTACTTGTTATTTGTCCCTATGGTATAATATACAATATATATGAAATAAATAATACCTAGTTCTTTTTAATGTGGGTTTATCTGATGACTGTGCTTTTCATAAATGAAGTGATTTTTTTTTTTTTTAAAGATTTTATTGGGGAATTGGGAAGGAACAGACAAGTTGCTGTCCTTTTGTTCTTCAGTCTAGTTGTGGAGGACTCTGCCTCACTGGCCCATGTTGGCATCATTGCGTTCCTCCCCGGTGAGGCAGATCGGTTGCCAGCCTCTGGACGGCCACTCACGGCGGCTCTTGGCAGCTCACACTGGCTGCCGGCCACTCACGGTAGTTTATGGCAGCCCACTGCAGCAGGGGCTGCAGCCTGCGCTGTCACCGGCGACCCACGACAGCCCAGCTCCAGGTCAAGCTGTTGTTCACCATCTTAGCTGTAGAGGGCAACGTCACTGGCCCTCATGTGGGATCCGAAAACCGGCCCTGCTGCTCTGAGCTGGCGTCCCAAGCCAGTTCTTAATCAACGTGCCACTTGGCCGGCCCTGAAGTGAAGATATTTTAAGTGAAAATTTTA